CGTATCTCTGAGCAGTTCACCGCTATGTTCCGTCGTAAGGCTTTCTTGCATTGGTACACTGGTGAGGGTATGGACGAGATGGAGTTCACAGAGGCTGAGTCCAACATGAACGACTTGGTGTCCGAATACCAACAGTACCAAGATGCCACAGCCGAGGAGGAGGGAGAGTTTGATGAGGAAGAGGGAGAGGAGGAGACCTAAACATGCAACACCAACATCATTGCATGATATAGAAGAAAATTTCCATCTCATGAAAAAAACAGAGAGCAAAAAAATAAATAAAATTGTAACATCCTCATATTTGAGTACTTTTTAATATCCCTTGCAATATATGCAAATATCTTTTAATCAATCTTTAGGTCAGCCCTATCTAAGCAATTCTTAAAAGGTTTTCATGTAATAATTATACATACCATGGTTAATTAGTCATAGTTTGAGTTAAAAGGCTAGATGATTAAATCTGGTAAATTTTACTCCTGGTCATTATAGATGTTTATGAAAAAGTTTGATAATATGATCCAAGTGATCTTTTAAGTAGTAGATAATTGCAATATGAGAAAAATCTGTTAAGTTCTTCCTTGGAATGCTGTCAGCATATGTACACTAGTTGTTATATATTTACCGAAATGACTATTTAGCTATGCTTTGTTTAATACTTGGTCATAGATGTGCGCGAGTCTTTGAGCCCCCTTGTCTCGATTAAACAAAGCGTAGCTGAATCGAGTCATTTTGGTACATATATAACAACTATTGTACATACGCTTACAGCGTAGCTGAAATCGACATAAATTTTGTGGACATTTTTGACACATTTTGTCTATCCTTATCCTTAAATTACCACTAGCATGTCTCGACAATCCTACGCCACAAAAATATTGTAACTTTTTTAATGAAATGTAGCAATGGGCCTGCATTACTCACCTGGTATTAATCTCACAACTGTAACCTTAAAAGTAGACCAAAATTAAGCTACAAGCAAAAGATCAGGGCCCATATTCATGAAACTGATCTCGTGCTCAAGCAAGATTTCTTGTAACTCACCAGAATCATGTCAATGATCAAAAAGTTAAACTTAAATATTGAAAACAGTATTCGGCTATAAGTCTTCAATTTTTGTCCCAAACTTAACTCTTTTTTTTAAAATAATCTATAACTGAAACAAGAAATTGGACTTTAGCACAGAATCCATACCTGAGCATGAGAACGGTTTCATGAATACGGGCCCTGGTGTCTCTACTTGAAAGAACCCTGTTGAAAAATTCAAACACATTTGACCTCTGTGACCTTGAAAGTCAAACAAGAACATACATTTGAACAAACTTTAAAACTCTTCAACCCAGGATGCAACTTGCGGAATATCACCACCCTTTTCCATTTGCTTGTTGAGAAGATGACTTAAGGATGTACTCTTCTGAGGTTTCAAGTCTCGTTTTGATCTGGTGTAACGGGTTTTTGTAATATTTAACAAATTATGATCAAGTTTATTAGCAAACACGCATCTGAAAAATATGTCAAACAAGGTTACCGCGAGCGGTATATAATACGCCCGTCACACATTGAATGAGCAGTTGTTTGTATGATTGAAATATATGAAGTATTTGTGAGTAATTGATATTAAAAGAGAAATCATTCAACATAACTAGTAGATCCATGAGTGCAATACAACATCATGGAACGCATGCATCGCATTAATGAAACCAAGGGTAATAACTCCAGTAATTACGGTCGGATAATGGCGGTTATCGAACTTGTCTGTGGTTTCATGGTAATTAACCTTGTTGTGAAGTTTGAAGTTAATCCGTTAATAATTACTCGAGATATCGAGCGGACACTGTTTCGCCCGCCCGCCCGTTAATTCATTAAATATTAATACCAAAACTTTTTATATCAAGCGTTTAATCTGCAAAAAATGGTAAAAAATGAGTATTTTTTCATTAAAAAATAGGGGGGAGGGGTAACTAAAATCGACTTCCTGAGTTAAAAGAATAAGATTAAGAAATTTTACTTACATAATTTAAAAGAAAATAATATTTTTATTAATTCTACAATCATTCATACATATCTGATAACACACTTTGAAGAAATTGTATGAATTTGTTCCGCAAATGGTCAAACCCCAAAAAATCACCTAAAATCACATGTTGTGTTAAATTGGTATCTTCGACCGATCATAGCACAAAAACGAACACACCGACATAGTTTTTTTTGCATTTTCTACTATGCCATTTAACTCCTTTTTCCAAAAATCCATATAAGAAAAAAAGTTTAATACAGGAAATTTTTGACTTCTCAGAGGTGTACATCCTTAAGATTTATACACAATTGACCATGTGATCTTGAAAATGTCAAGGTCATTCAGATGCACAAACTTGATAGCTCTTCATTTGAGGATGCTAGTGGTTACATATCACCATTCTTTGTATTTTGGCTATTCAGAACTGTATTGACCCTCGTGACCTTGAATTATCTTTTGAGTAAGCTTTTCAAACCTTTCATCAAGGTATGCTACTGGCTTAATATCATCATCCTGGCCACTTTTTTATTTATGAGAAGTGGTTCAAGTTTTGGACATATATGTTTCGACCCATGTGACCTTGAATATGGTATATTCAGATGAACTTGCTTAAAAATCTTTGGGCCAGGTGAGCTAAAAAATTATTCCTATAGTTACTGAATTTAATTAAGTTAGCACTGAAATTCATATTTTCAATAAAGTACGCCAATTTACTATCATAATTTAATTATTTAGAAGAGTTGTTTTGTCACCACTTATCCTGATGACAAAATATCAACACCGCCTATGTAAGTTATACTTATGACTCTGGTTCTCTTATACTTTCCGACAACTGCTTAGCCTAACTTTGGACATTGAGACGTTGACACTATTGCATGTGACACGAGTTTTCTCAGATCCAATAATTTGAATTGCCAACGTGCGTTGCTGATGTCTAGACGGATTTTCTCTAGTCCTGTGTATCATAAGCTAACAAGCTTTGACCAAATGAGCCACTTGAATTTTTCCCATGGTAGTTTGTAACCAGTGTTTTGATTGGTCAAATCAGCAACAATGATATTTTCACTAATTAAAGAAAATGAATGATTTTCAATATTTCACTACTGGTAAAAATGTAATAAAGCATCTGGGCCCGGTTGTTCAAAACTATCGTAACTGATTGTTATTCCGGAATGTAAAACCTTGTAAGTAAAATTTGAAAATTCCTTATTCATTCAATTGCAGATACCACATCAAAGCAAACAATAGCTGCAAGGAAACACCAATATACTCTGCCTCCAGTACATACAAAGGTCAAGGTTGCTGTTACTTATAGAAGTATATTTGAGATTTTAAAAATTCGAAACAAACATACATCTTACGAAGTCTACTTAAAGATGAATATATTGCTTAAACAGCTACATACACAGCGACACCACATTAATTGTAGTGTTCTGGTATTACCCCAATAATACTGAAACTGGGGAAAAGACTAATTTTAAAGAGTTTTATCTTTTATCCATTTTTCCAATTCATGACACAAACTTTACTTACCGGAGGGCACTCGTAAAAAAGATGCAACAAAGTTTCTTTTCTCTCTACAAACAGTACACATGGGGGAGTCAACTCTTTGATTTGGTGCAAGAAGTATACGATGCACCAGTCTATACTGTAACCACTGTAACGTTGTGTCCTTAGTTATCTTAAAAGGAAATCTTTTTACTTTCCTCAACCATCCATACTCTTTTTAAAAATCCAAATCCCTGTTCCATTTTGAAATGTATGTTTCTGCCAAAAGATCCAATTGGATGCACCAATTCTTTATATATAGTTCTTTGACCAGGTCCATCTAAAACCATATTAATAAATTGGGGGTACATGAGTATGTCCCTCATACATGGACTCCTTCCCTCAACATAGGAAGAGCTTTGGTCATCATCTTTTTTCAAATCCTGATATATAGTAAATGGTGGATAAAGGAAGAATACTGGTTTCTTGATGAAAAGAGAATTGCTTCAATAAAACTCCAAACATCTTTAGTTTCAATGTTTATTTGCACAGGATAAATGCCATTACGATAATCATACGTACAACCTGTACATGTATTAATAATTTACATTGTATACATCTATTTTGACATAATTCAAATCTATACAAGACATTTTCTTCGCACTCAGGTTTGTTCAATATAGTCCCAACAATCCCTATGTAAAAGTATCATTAAAAAAGTCATCTGAAAATAAAACTACTTGCAATAAGCAGCAGATACTTCCTCTTTGATGTATATATATTAAACACTACTAAACAGTTATTTAATAGTTTGAATGAACCATTTATATATAAATAAATACAATCTTATCCTAAATTAATTCCCTTTCACAAAAGTTCTAGAAGATGATTCATTACAAATATTAGAATGAAAAGGCCATTAAAATTAAGGATTCTTATTTAGTCCATTATTGTCTGTGATCCAAAATAAACAAGAAACTTTGATCCATGTGTTTTTAAGGGTGACTGAGCAACCATAAACTGCCTTACTAGGACTGCCTCGTCTAGGTGTGGAATTCTGGACCCTCCTTAAAGAGCCATCTCCTTGAGCACATTGAGGGAGGTTTATGCAAGACTTTTGTATTATCAACGAGCCACCTAGCAATGCAAAACACCACACACTCCAAGCACTCTAAAGAAGTAACGACATCTATCATCCCGTCATATTTCATTTTCGTTGACTTTAGCACCACTGTGGCCACGACACAAAGTTTTCATCATCAACAATACATGTCTTTATTGCTACAGGTTCCCCTTAATAACTCGGCAGTCAACGTAAGCATAATTTTAACATTTTATATGATGTTCTTTAATTTTCCTTTCTACATATTTTTGTTCTGGAAATTTCATTATTCAAAATGTTTTCATAAATAACATGTTTTTCTGTCTCCCTAATAGCTAAAATCTTCAACAAAAATCATAAAGACATCTTGAAAGTCCCTCCACTTACTAGTTCCTAATCAAAGTAATACCCCATTAACTGGGAGTAGTTTTCTTTTGTACATACAGTCCTTCAAATAGCGAGTCAAGATTCACATCCGAATAGGAGTTCTGTTTCAACCATCGTGATGACACATCTTTCAGCTTGTTATAACTCGCAACAAATTCCTTAGACTTTATGTTGGCAATTTCTGAAATAAATAATTTCATATTAGGGATATACAGTACACAAGATTATTTAACACTTAGATAAAAAAGAGAATTGTCAGTTGTAGCATACATCCCCGTAAAAGAACTATCATTTGGTGCATAAATGGTTTACAATACAGTTTTGAAATATTTGCTGTTGCATTTTTAGTTGGTCACATTACCTCAAAATCAGGTTTAGGACAATCTATTTTTAGCAATAAACTGACCTTGACTTCTGATAAACCACATCCAAAGTTAGCATCTGGACAGATGATTTGTTCTATGTAATCTAATTTTTAAGTGACCTTGAACTTTGATTGAAGATCTTCCCTTTGAGATTTGTACGATTCATTCTGAAGGGGTTATTATTTCTGTAAAATTGTATCTTTAGTAAGAGTGCTTTTAACCAATGAATCTATGACCAACACCTTAAATCACTAGGGTTCACTTTCCAAGGGCAAGCCAGATTGTGTGATCATTCCTGCTGAAGTAAGCCTCTGAACAAGTCATATTCCTGATAAAATGTATTTTCAGAAACAGTGCTTTTGACCTTTGACAGATAATGCAGCAAAACAAAATAATAAAAAAAGAGTTTTTTTCTTCCCAAGCTCAACCAACATACCAAGTTTTAGCTTAGTGTAATCAGTCACTAAAGTTTGTATATGGACAAGAAATAAAGAGGTGTTGGTAGGGTTAACATGATAGAGCTATGAACCTACCCATACAAATCTACTGATAGGTGCTGGTTATACCCATACAAATCTACTAAGAGGTGCTGGTAATACCCATACAAATCTACTGTGAGGTGCTGGTAATACCCATACAAATCTACTGAGAGATGCTGGTTATACCAATACAAATCTACTGTCAGGTGCTGGTAATACCCATACAAATGTACTGTGAGAGGTGCTGATAATATGCATACAAATGTACTGAGAGGTGCTGGTAATACCCATACAAATCTACTGAGAGGTGCTGGTAATACACATACAAATCTACTGTGAGAGGTGCTGATAATATCAATACAAATCTACTGNCGTCTATGTATACAGGGGTCTGTCTTATTTAGTGTTGGATAATATACCAAATGTTGTGAAAGTAAAATAGTATTTCTTATTTTCCTTTACAGAAATATATNTGAGAGGTGCTGGTTATACCCATACAAATCTACTAGGGGGTGCTGGTAATACGCATACAAATCTACTGTGAGAGGTGCTGGTAATACCCATTCAAATGTACTGAGAGGTGCTGGTAATACCCATACAAATCTACTGTGAGAGGTGCTGATAATATCAATACAAATCTACTGTGAGGTGCTGGTAATACCCATACAAATCTACTGAGAGGTGCTGGTAATACCCATACAAATCTACTGTGAGAGGTGCTGATAATATCAATACAAATCTACTGAGAGGTGCTGGTAATACCCATACAAATCTACTGAGAGGTGCTGGTAATACCCATACAAATCTACTGTGAGAGGTGCTGATAATATCAATACAAATCTACTAAGAGGTGCTGGTTATACCCATACAAATCTACTAGGGGGTGCTGGTAATACCCATACAAATCTACTGTGAGGTGCTGCTAATACCCATACAAATGTACTGAGAGGTGCTGATAATACACATACAAATCTACTAGGGGGTGCTGGTTATACCCATACAAATCTACTGAGAGGTGCTGATAATACCCATACAAATGTACTGAGAGGTGCTGGTAATACCCATACAAATGTACTGAGAGGTGCTGGTAATACCCATCCAAATCTACTGAAAGGTGCTGGTAATACCCATACAAATCTACTGAAAGGTGCTGGTAATAGCCATACAAATCTACTGACTGTACTTGACTCTTCTCCGCAGTCTTAGAATAAATAGATGTGACTTTTCAAAGAAATCATTTATCCCACGTTAAATTGTGATGGTCACAATACACTAATTCATGGAGGTGTTTTAAAATGATTTCACAATACAGAGGCGAAATGTTAAGTTATATATATTTCTGTAAAGGAAAATAAGAAATACTATTTTACTTTCACAACATTTGGTATATTATCCAACACTAAATAAGACAGACCCCTGTATACATATATGTTACCCTGTATATATTTCATACCTACAAGTTCTGTATCTTGCAAAGGAAACACTATAATAATTTAACATCTCTTTTAAGAACTTTACTAAGGTGTTTTTTTCAGTGAGTGCAAAAAACCCTGTTCAAAAGCTGGTTAGAACATGCGAGGCAAACTAGAGACAGTATCACTGAAGTACACTTCTCATAAAATAAGATTGAATCCATTAACAATCCATTTTTTCCCCCAGTTTTAATTTGTACAGATAACTTACCTCTCTCCCTCTCCGACAGTTGGTTCCTGGCCTTGTCAATGTCAAACACATGTTGGTAGAAACACATTTGGTGATATAGCATCGCATCTGTGTACTGCAAAAAAACAAAAAACAAAAAAATAATAATAATTTGACTGTCACATCAACAATCTCACCAACAAAGTAAATTCTACCCTCGGATTTTGGAGACGAAATTTGAAATACTACCCAGAAACTCTAAAGAAAACAGCTTATACATCCCTCATAAGATCTGAATGTCTTGCATCATTAATGATTATACAAGACTTTTAATTATTTCAAGTTAATAATAATCAAATGACTTGCTATATTACGACCATCAGACCTTGTTATTAAAATACATATATATATATGCTCTGTGTACACATGTATCATCACTGATTTGATTACAAGTTACATTACTCATTAATCTTGCATGTTTGAGTCAAGTCAGTTGTTACTGAACTAATAGGGTATTCCAGGATGTGATGAGGCTCTCTTTGCAACTCCGCACCACTCAGGTTTATTGTAAACATTTCAACTTAGGTATGTACATTTCCTCACTGACTATAACGTTTTTTCAGGTTCCCATCAACACTCACAACAAGAATGGACTCTCAATCACAAATATACATATATAGCTATTAGAAGTATACTGAAAATATAAACATACTAGGAACACCTCGTAAAATATTCATCACAATTATTGCAATTCATATTTCAAGATATTGTGGGATGTATAAGGGGTGTCACAATATGCCAAGAGTGTATCACGATATATTGCAATACAGAATGCATATACTGCGATACGTATCCCGATATATTGTCATAGGAAAGACGTGCTCAATTTAACAATAATTTGTCAAACCAACCATCGATTACAAAATTTGAACTGATTCCCCACCACTACTAAAAGCCTGTTTTATGCTTATTAGCATATCTGTTAGAATCTGTAGTAATTTGCAAAGTTAGATTACTAAGCAGATTGAGATACATCAAAATAAGCTTTTAAAAATATTGTGATACAGCAATATTTCATCTGTGTATTGTGGTAGGATACAATATACCAGTGTATTGCGATATACCAGTGTATTGCGATATACCTGTTTTGCGATATATTGTGACAGCTCTAGGATGTACTGATCAACCAGTACAAGTTATAAGGAGATACATACACAGGCATTCAAGTGTCCTTTATGGCAGGCAGGACAGATCGGGTGACTTCTCTGGAAGATCAGTGGCAGTCGACGGGTCACATGACCACAGGTAGTGTCGTCACATTTCAACCAACCCTGAAATGAGACAATGGTCATCAATGCATAAACATACGACCAGACCTGTCAGATCAGATAAGTCATTTAGTTACATACAATCAAATTGATCAAGATTTCTAACTATTTGGCACCCAATAGAACGATGAGCTCAGAAAATCTGTTGTTGCTTGTGTGAGACAGTGTTTCATCACAAATAAACACAAATCAGTTTGTTGTTTTTAAATTATTTCTTTAATTCTTGCATCATTTTCTTTTTTTTTGTCCATAACGAACACAAAAAAACCCACCTTTGATCAAGGAACAAGTCTACATGTTTAACTGTGTACTGTAGAAGTGGCAAGATTGCTATGCATGTCTCACAGCTGATAAATCCCTTTCACAATTAACAGATTACATTTGTATTAGGAAAAGAAGTTTGTGATCTCGATCTCAGATTAAGAAAACATGCTAACGTCAATATATGTGTGTAATGGGATACATCATTTCAACTATGTCTTGCAGCAATTTTGAAACCTTGGTCCTTCAAATTAAAGTTGTAGATCAATTATATTCATCATTTTTCTTTAAACTGAACTTAAACTTTGATGATCATGAAGGTTCATTGAAAGATATTTACGAATATAAAATAATCTACCTCATAATATTTTCGGATATGTTTGCGTATTGTCATGACCATTTGGTTGGCTATCTGTTGCAAGCTCTCGTTAGGCTGACTCCGACACTGCGGGTTTGTACACCTGGCCAGGGAACAATCAATTTCCTGTTCCTAACAATACAAAACACAACATAATATCATGCAGCTGCGGAAAAGATATCTTGTTGACTTGTTACAATAACACTCTTTTTACTTACTAAACCAATTGGACTTACAAGGTTTAAATATATTACATTATGGTTAGGACTCGAGACAAACAATACAATTTAAACAGAAGTACCACTTCAGAAAATTTCTAATACCTAGCAATCTATTCAAACACAAGAATTCCATGGAAGTGGATGTGTCGCCTGCGCAGGAAGCTGGGAGATTGTGCTTAGCACTGCATGAAGTCTGAATTTGATCGGCCAAAGGAAACTCAAGTAATCGCACGAAAACAGATTTTCTATTTATAGTAACAGTGACCTTGACCTTTGGACCTGAAAAGCAATCCCAAGCAAGCACTTTTGGTTAGGAAGCACTGCATTAAGTTTGAGTTTGATCAGCCCAAGGAAACTCCAGTTATCGCACGAAAACCTCTGTGCGGACGCCGCCGCCGCCGACATAGCAATACCTATGTGTCACCAGCTTTTGGCAGGCGACACAAAAACTATTANGCCCAAGCAAGCACTTTTGGTAAGAAGGCAATGCATTAAGTTTGAGTTTGATCGGCCCAAGGAAACTCAAGTTATCGCACGAAAACCTCTGTGCGAACGCCGCCGCCGCCGACATAGCAATACCTATGTGTCACCAGCTTTTGGCAGGCGACACAAAAACTATTAAATATAATAATTCCTACCAAATCATGTCCAGTATACAGCTTTTTGGACAACAATAAAAAAGAGTTTACGACATAGAATTCACGTTATCTTACCGCTCCAGTAAATACGCTGTCAAAGATAATTTCTCTTCCACAGCTAGCACTCGGACATTTAAACTTGAAGCGGTCGCAATCTTTGAATTTTTCCTCATCCGACATATCTGTACCCCCTAACAAGGCGTCCTCCTCCTCCTCGTCCTGAGTCCGGCTGGTTTGCCTGTATCCCGCTGGTTCTAGTCCTGTACAGTAACATTAATACAATATAATCACTCAGATTACAGAAGGAATCATTTTATTGATTAGAGTGAGTAATTATGCAGAGCAAATGGGACTTGCAATTTCACTAACTCAAACTCTCAAACCTCCTAAAATACAATTGTTCCATATTATTAAGAAATCAGTGAAAAAGTTGTATTCAAATTGTTACTTAAATCAAAGCTTGTGGGGACATAGAGCCAACCCATTTGGCTCATGAATACTGTATACCAGTTAGTGTTTGTCCTTTGACGGTAAAATCCATTTTCACCAAATATCAAATTTGCACTTAACATTTAATAACCATGTATATTCTGTTGTTTACAACTGTTCGCTGTAATGATATATTTGCCCTAAATAAGGAGGGCAAAACAGGCGAAATATTAAACAGCAGCGAAAATTCCCCAGTATACAGAAGTTAACTCGGGTTACATTAACGTATCCTGCTTGAAATGGTACAGGTGGCACAGAAATATTCCACAATAAACGAACACACTTAGACCGTTCTATAAGCAGCTAAAAATGCACAGTTTCAGAAAATAAATAACGATGTATCAAGAATAGTATGCCCTTCTTTCACGCGTCCACTGAATTACATAACGTATCTTAAAAACTACATGTGGCTTGACATTGTTTTAGAAATAAATAATGCAAACTAGCAATAGTCAGCACTTTAGTTTCGGTCAGGTACGTCTGGACCCCTCAATCTTCACGTGCCGAATATTCCTGAGGTCAGCCTCGGTTCAGATCTGTTCCGGTCATTTTCTTTACAGGTTCAACCATTTCAACCGAATACGCGAAAGTGGCCTAGGTCCCACTGTACCATCAGACATCCTAAATCCATCCTCAACTAATACAGTTGTCATACTATCATCACTGTTGGCCTTCTTAATGCCACCAATTGTACAGATGACAACATATAGACAGTGACTGGAGAGAATCTGTTTTCTTTTAAAATTATCCCTGTAATCCAGCTATTTTACAATTCCATAGTGAACCTTTAGTCAAATTTGGCCTCAAGCTGTAGGCTTATTTCATTTCGATGCTTTTCTTGTTTCACACAGGTGATGAAAAGTAATGTTGAAGCAATGGTGGATATTTAGTATATAATTAACAACAATATCTTTATAAGCAAATTACATGTAATTATAAGAAAATAGATGGAGTTTTGCAAGCAAATAAAGGTTTTGTAGTCAGTAAACAATCCATATTGATTTACGAAGGATTTAGTTGTGAGGTTGCTTAGCCAGAAATTCGTCCAGATGAGCGTGACCCCTGCCCTCTATGTATTAGAGTCTTACTTAGCCAGACATTTGTCCAGATGGGCGTGACCCCTGCCCCCTATGTATTAGTCTTACTTAGCAAGACATTCGGCCAGATGAGCGTGACCCCTGCCCCCTATGTATTAGATTCTTACTTACCCAGACATTCGGTCAGATGAGCGTGCCCCCTGCCCCCTATGGATTAGAGTCTTACTTACCCAGACATTCGGCCAGATGAGCGTGACCCCTGCCCCCTATGTATTAGAGTCTTACTTAGCCAGATGAGCGTGCCCCCTGCGGATTAGAGTCTTACTTACCCAGACATTTGGACAGATGAGCGTGCCCCCTGCCCCCTATGGATTAGAGTCTTACTTACCCAGACATTCGGCCAGATGAGCGTGCCCCCTGCCCCCTATGGATTAGAGTCTTACTTAGCCAGATGAGCGTGCCCCCTGCGGATTAGAGTCTTACTTACCCAGACATTTGGACAGATGAGCGTGCCCCCTGCCCCCTATGGATTAGAGTCTTACTTACCCAGACATTCGGCCAGATGAGCGTGCCCCCTGCCCCCTATGGATTAGAGTCTTACTTACCCAGACATTCGGCCAGATGAACGTGACCCCTGCCCCCCTATGGATTAGAGCCTTACTTACCTAGACATTCGGCCAGATGAGCTGCATCTGTGCCCTCTATAGGATCACAGAGACGAGACACAACAGGATGGACTTGGTGAGCCAGGTAATACTTGAAGTCTGGACAAAAACATACAATAGATATTAATCCTACCACACTCATGTAAGGGCATTCATTTTTCAGCTGAATGAAAAAATTGTCACAAAATTCTTAATACTGCATTTTACCATATGAACACACTTAATTATGTATTTTTCATATAAGCACCAAATTTGCTTTATACAAGAAAGTGCTTTGGCATGAAGTGAAAAAGATTCAGTTGCCAATAATTGAAGGTGGTGCTTTCCATAATTCACTGTCAGAAGATAAATTGAGTTTACCAACTGGTTATTTGTTTAGTAAAGTATTAAAAGAAGTTGATTTTTCTAGACCACCCTCTTGGTTTGTTTTTATCAAAAACATGTGGAGATTGGTTTAAAACAGCACATATCCATTAGGAACATCAAAGTTTTCCTTTATCTGTATAGTCTCCAACAAATAAAGTTAAAATTCTTGTTTTTCTTCTCTCTTTCTGAAAATATTTCTTACATCACAACATGAAAGTTCCATGCTATTCTGATAATTCTAAAATAATTAGAGTTTCTTATATATATCACAACCTAGTTTGTAGGTCGTCTCAAAGTGGTTCACATATTATTAACCGTGGTTATAGGGCGTTTGCAAGAAACTTATATCTTTCTCATTCCCTGGGGAGCATACAGCCGGTGCTGCCATTTCGGCGCCCACAGCTGGCATTTTACAACTCCAGCACTACCCAACCACGTACTCATTTACAGCTGAGTAGACTGGAACAAGTGGAGTAAAGTATCTTGCTCAAACGTACAACAGTGCCGTGACGAGAGTGAACTCGCAACCCTTCGGTCACGAGCCCGGCGTCGGTCACGAGCCCGGCGTCCTACCACTAGACTACCGTGCCTCCATGACATAATTCTATATTATCCAACCTACTTTTACACACAATTTCAATAAGAGATCATGTAAGGTACCTACCAACTGTGAGTGTTTCACTTTTAGCCAGTTCATCAGGATGATACGCCCGCTGTGAAGCTGCTAAAGTGGAGCCATCCTGTAAATACAAAACACTCCCCATGTGACAGGAACCAACACAGAACACTGATATACAGTAAAAACCTTGTTATACCGCCACCTTCTGTCCTCTGTGATTTTGGCAACATAACAAGTTCAGTATATCAGGTTTACCGTTTTGAACCCAAGTGTTCACTCACCAACTGAAATTTAACTTTGAAATAATAATAATAACCTATAGAATACCTTTTTCCTCCCCTCAAAATTGTAATTTAATGTATCAAGCTGTTGAGCATGCAAAATATACAGCTGTTTAGTGTAATTTTAACCATTTGTTTTGGGAATATGATGGGGATGGGATGGCGGTATGCGGGTTTGGCGTTACAACGGGCGCATTTACGTTGGGGAAATAAGTTCTGAGTAAAATAATGGTGGTATGCGGGTTTGGCAGTATAAGGGGTGGCATTACAACAGGGTTTTATTGTATCTTCTGTTTATGTTGGGTGGGTGGTAGGGTGTCGTACAGGCTTTACTCCCATATGATTTATATTGGGATAGGTGTAATTCTATGTTATTGAACCAAATAGGAATCTTGACAAGTTATTCTTCTCACGCTTTATTCATATTTAACCCTTTCATCCCTATATAACTTAAGTAGACTCTACAATGCATTGATCTGGATGAATCCATTATGGTCTATAGTAGTGAAAGGGTTAACATAATGAAATCATGAAGCCCTTAACCTCAACACTGCGTTATGCATATGACAGTCAATGGGGTAAGAGAAAAAGAATCATTCATCCCCTGGAGGTGAGATGGAGAAGCTCAACTCTCAGGGAAAGATTCTTAATTTGCCAAAAATTGGGCAAGCCTCTTGTATGGCATTTAAGAATCTTCCCCGTTAGGATGAGATTCTCTGACATGACCCCCAAGGGTGTAAAAGATTCTATGAGTCACTGCATACCTGACAGATGATATAAGGCACAGTGTCTCCCGCCCTCATTTTCTTGCCTCCCTTACTGTTGAATCGCAATGCTACTTGTACATGAGGTAGACTTTTCTTGTCAGGGTAATCCTCTGGGTTTTTTGTTAGTGCCTGAAATACAACAGTGAAAATACAAAATGGGAGATGTAATATAAATTACTTCAATAAAATAAGTTTCAAGTTGAAAACATTTCAAAGCAATCCAACAACTGAAGGAAATCTAAGGAGTTTGTGATTTATTTATTGAATTCTTTTCTCAATAGATTCAGGAAAGAAATTGTCGAACAATTTTCCTTATATCATCTAATCCGAGTCTTAACTTTCATTCTTTCTTTTAACCCTTTCACCCCTCTGTAACTTAGTAGACTCTACCATGCTTTGATCTGGATGAGTTCATTATGGTCTACAGTGGTGAAAGGGTTGACGGGCAAAATTGGCAGAGTAGTGAACATTCAGACTACCACTCGGATGGCTGGGGTTCAATCTACGAGGTTATCGTAGCATGAACAATTTTTAATCCTGATCATACAACTCCAATAATCTTGAGTATAAAATGGTCAGAGGCGAGGCTCTGACGAGTCTGTTTTAACAACCTACGTAAGGTGGCACCTATGATAAAATGATGCCTCCAGCATACATACAAGCACATACAAACATGGAGGTATTTGCCAAGTGGCATAGGACCTAATAGGTAAGACTTAATAAGTTAGCATCTGAAAAATATTCAAATTGTACTGACTATCGGTATGTATTGTAAAGCACCCTAGAGTGGATTATTATAGCAAGATGTAGCACTATATCAAAATAAACTTTGTATAAAAATAATTATCATAATAATAAAGTTCTGCTTTATTGATGCACCCAACACCTGAACTGTAGCTTACTCGTATTCAAATTCTATTTGTGTCTCACACCCATCAAAACAATATTCAAATCACTTCTTGAAGCAAGCTTTTTTGAAGAGCTCTGCCATGCAAGGGGGTACTATCTCTCCTGGATGGTTGTGGAAAGCTAGTGGCTCGGTCTAAAATATGAGATGTATTTACCTTGGTGATGAAGAAGAGTTCCACCGGAACCTGATTGTCATTGACCTTTTCTCCAACTTCCATCAATTTGTTGTGAATATTCTCCACAACTGTTTCCTTGGATTCGCCCGAAAGGATCTGGTCAACGACGAAACTGAACCAAATGCACAACATGACAATTGCTAGTCTTATATGATAATGAATCTTCTCGAAAAGATGAAATCCAAAAATTTATATATCTAATGATCATTAACTAGAGTCATTTCAGTGTTTAAAGTAAACATCAGGGTTTCTATTGACCCCTTATTTTAACCCCATAAGGGGTATATGACCTAAAATTCAAACAATGCAAGAGTATTTTTTTTCTTAATTAAATACAAAATACCCAAAACTTACATTGATATTTTCTTTTCCATACATTAATATTCTCCGAGTCCTTTCCGTATTACATTAAGATCTCTCTTACTCTGGCAAGCTTTGTCCTCTCAAGGATCTGAACATCACTTACTTTCCTGCCTCCTTGGCTAGATCCGACCAGTCACGTCTCACGATATCCAGCCCCTTCAGTTCTCGCTGTGTCGTGTATTTACCATCTGCGCCCTTTGTGACGTTGAGTGCTGCATATTTTTTCTTTTTGAGGAGAAGCATGGACTGGAAAACACCGTCGATGTCAATCTCTAGTAGGCGGTACAGCTTGTTTACCTCACCCTTCACCTGTACAAATATATCATGTAATTATCACAATCTTCACAAACATGTCATGATCATTTACAATCCCCACAAATGCATTATTTTATCTTATAAACAATCTTCACAATATGTGATACATATTTTATTACAAATAGAAGAAAAACTATAAAATTGTTTTTTTTTTATTTTTTATTTCTGAGGTATAATGCAAAATCATCAGATAATATTGAACTTTATAAAGTTCTTGATTCTTCCACTCTTTTTTATATCCTTTGTACTCATCAATTTTGTTTTCTTTCAGACTTTATACTGAAATTGAAATAAATAGAGATGAAGTAGAACAGACCATTATCAACTCTACTTATTTTACAATATTATGAAACAAGTTTAAACACTCTTGTTGACCCAGATGTTGGTGACAGGTCTTAATGCTGGAGGAAACCTGAGTGCCCAGAGAAAACCCATAAACGCCATATCTTTTCACGTCCGATTGGGGAATCAAACCCAGCCATCTTAATGAAAGGAGAGCGTGTTATCTACTGCACCACCTGACCACCCAAACAGATAATTTCCCATATGATACTGAATTACTAAAATGGAAATTACAGACAGGTGTTGCTATAGACAGGTTTGTACATTACTACAGTGTGGTCAGTACCTTGTTTCCGAGCTTATAGACGACGTCCAGGTCTGTACAATTGGTGTTGACCATGATGGAGTCAGTGTCTCCATAGATCACATCAAGGTTCATCTATAACAACGAGACAAAGACTAGCACAAATGTTTTATAGGATCTCCACAATATTACAGTAGCGATGGCAACACGCAAAACACATCAAATACTAGCCTGGTCACTCTATAAGTCTATCATTTCAATTAACAAATATATATTGTCTGCTGTGGAAGAAAAAGTAGCAAACTTACACACATATTAGAAAAATGCATTTTCAGACACATAGCAAAACATACTAGTAAGAATTTGTCGATTTAGCTAAAATATCATATTGACAACCAAAACATTGGTCAGAAAAAGTGTCAGATTTTATCTCTAATAGCGATTAATGTCATAATAAAATTAATGTCTCACCCCTTGTACTAAATCTTTGGTTTTCATTAGAATCTGTGAAAGACAAAGAAGATGCAAAATTAGAATCAAATAAGGGCAAATCGTGAATTCAAACACATAACGATTTATATTAAGGCTTATTTTAAAACTTTTTCCTCTTTGCTCATTTAAACAAGAGGCCCATGGGCCTTAACGGTCACCTGATATATTTATACAGAGTTGGTTTGATTTTAACATGAACAAAAATATTATTCAAAGTGACAAAAATCAATAAAACCACCCTATTAAATATCTAGCTTACAGATTTAAGACTAAAAAGTATTTGAAACTAGCACCTCTGATTCTAAACAAGGAAAATGAAGAAATTTTAGCATAGGGCTGGCTCAAAATTTTCAAAAAAGTATCAAACTGTCAACTCAGGGTTATTATTCCAATCAAGCTATGAACATGTTATATTCAAAGTATCATTTGCCATTATAAACCATAACAAATGTTGGTCCAAAATGTGATTTCCCTATATAATCTATAGTAAAGTTTACCCCCTCCCAAGGGGGAAACATGAGACCCCAGGGTCAAGAAATTCACAATTTTGGTAAAGCACCTTAAGACCCTTCCATCTATGAAGAGTATTTGATTCTACCATATCTGGGTCTTGAGAAGAAGATTTTTGAAATTT